AGATAGTATAACTTTCTGGCAATGCAGAAACATGATTGGCAAAAGATGGGGACTGACGCCAAAAATAATACAAAAATTATAATGTTGGCTGAATATCGCCGCACATGGTTCCAACATGATTATGCCCCTCCACATGTCGTGAAGTTCGCCCGTGAGTGCCTCAACGAGCTCTTTAATGATCGCTGGATTAGCAGACTAGGACCACACGCTTGGTCGCTCACCAGATCTGACCCCGTTAGACTTCTTTCTGTGGGGATATGTGAAAGAAAGGGTTTTTAATCGTGAATGTGATAGTGCTGACGAAATGCGCCAAAGGATCGTGGATATTTTCGAAAAACTACGTACGGACTGCGTCGAAGAACACACAGTGATGCCCCGACTGCATGAGGAGACGCAACGCCGAGCCCAAATTTGCTTCGAAATGACTGGAGCACAATTTGAGCTGCATCTCATAAGACCACGGAGGATTTAGAGCGGTAAGCTATTTAATACCGAATTTTTTTAAATAATTTAGTACTGAACTGATCTAAATAGGTACATAACTGAATACATCAGAATAATAAACATGAAAAAAACATGAACACCTACACTATGAATAAAAACGCATGACTAAACTTGGTTACATTTCATTTAAGTATTTTTTTATTAGCAGGGAATCGAACCAGTTATTTGGGTTATTTAACCTGTGAATTCGAATTAAAGTGGCTACGAGGAGACAAGCACAGTGGCAAAATAGTAGGTTAAATTAGGTATTTATATAGACTTGTAAATTATAAGGTATTGTGGTATGGCCCGCTAGCTGCGGGCTGCGCGAATTCGTCGTTCACGCGTACATTGACCCCTGGTCAGCCGATTGTAATTCAGTAATTCCACTGTTGGTTTAATGTATAAGTATTTTCATTATTTTTTTATGAAATTATCGTTTCATTATCTGTACTAACATGATAGAGAATGAATAAAGCTATTAAAACGTTGTGAAAAGATGATTTTTTTTCATCAGGATTAATTTTATATTTCACCTATCATCAAAGGTATAGTTGGTACTGTCGTCTGTCTTCGTTTTCAGGAGCGTTTCAAAAATACCTTGTATATCTAAATGTACGTTACTACGTTTAATCTCGTCGTAATGACGGCACATTTTGACCGTAACTTAACATTATTTTTAGTATCAGTGAGAGTGTGCGTAATGTATAAATCGTGGGATAACATTCCACAAGTAAGTTAATTTACAACTAATATTAAACAATTTAAAACTATTTGATAATATAAGTACTTAAAAATTTGTTACTAATCTTAATATCGTAATTACCAACATGTTTGGATTTACATTACTGAGTTTTGATAAACAATAAAATTCAATAGGGTTGTCGAGTTCTTTGCCTATAATACTTATCGATGTTCTTTTCTACCCATATCTGTTAGCAACGAAAGTCGCCGACAAGAGATAATAATCAAATATTTATTAATTAACAGGTTTCCAACTGAACCTAGACTAAAATTGTGGCTAAAAGCATAAAAGTTGTGAATTGGCGTCGGAAACAAAATGATTATCTTTATTTTAAACACTCCACAAACGATTGTTTTATTAGACATGAGAAACGCACCACTTTGAAAAAGTGCCGTATACCCACAATATTTTCTGGTAGTACCAATAGTAGTAAGTATAAAAGTAATAGATTATTATTTCGAATGTTTTTTTTTTCTTTTCTTATTTTCCCCCAGACTCAAGTGCCAAAGCAAAATGTAGAAAGGTCGCTTGATAATGATTTTGTGTTTACAAGACGTAAATTTGTTAAATCTGTTTAAATATGAGCAATTTATTATATCAAGGGAATTAATTCATACTGCAAAATTATTAATATCCTAAGTGAGCTTGCGTGGGTTACGGTGACAAATAGCTCCTCCCTAAACAGGTTCGTGGCGGGGAGGGAGGCGGCTTAGTACCATGGGTTACTAAGCCGTAGCTTAGTGACCCACGGTAAACGTAGGGCTATATGGTAAACTCACATAGCTGACCCGAAGTGAAGGGCTGGGCCAAAGTGGCCACTCCGAATGGGCTTGTCGAGCCTTTGGATATGTGTTAGTGAGCTGTGGCTATAGGAGAGTCCTCTTCCTATATCGCTGCAGCGATGCGCCATTTGACTATCCTCCGCAACTTTGGCGGGGATACACTACTTGGTGCTGGGGAATCTGTTGTGCAGGTGGAGTTAGAGGCTGCGAAGGGCAGTGTGCCTTGTATTACTGGTGTGCCATATCTGAAAAGGAAAGGGGGAGGACAAGTCCTCAACTAAGGAGGCACTATTGAGCGGCTGGCGCTGGTGGGGCCGCGGATGTGTTTGAAAGCGTCTCCGTGGCCCTGCCAATGTGCGGCAAAGGTGGAACACCAGTGGGGTGTTATGTCGTGGGGTTTTAGTAGGTGCGAGTCCGACATAATCTGTTCTTGCCCCCGCGAAGCGGGTATGCGTAGGCATTTCTCATTTGGAACCCGAAATAAAATCCCTTCTGTAGTTACGAATAAAAACGTATATAGACCAACACAAGCAAGATTGACAGTTTTATATGAGGTATAAAGCCTGCGTCTAAGGCGTTGGTATTAATTGATACATTTATTTATTGTATAGCATTATATATTTTATTATAGATTCATAAATAGAATGGACTTTACAGGTAGGCCTGTAAATAGAATTTTTATCGATATATTTTGTCACGATGTCTTATTTCTATTATTAGTTCCTTGGACGTTCACTTCTGCCGTCAGCATCAAAATGACGAAAATCAAACCGCCTCATTGTTACGGTGTATAGCCAGTCCATATATAGAGGTCAGTGTTGGGCAGATATAATATCAATGTCAAACGTCAACCCAAATCAGTAATTTATCCAATAGTTGCCAAAATCAATTCTTGAGGGCCATAAACATAAGCCTAGGAATATTTGTATAGAGATTACATACCGTGATTATGTGGGATTGTAAGCATAATTAGCGCACGCACTTAGATTTGGCCACTATCGACTGAACGCTCATCTTTCCAGGATGAGAATAGTAGCATCTGCAACATGCAATTTCTGCGATACAGAAGCAGATCAGACTGCAGAACATATAATATTTAACTGCCCAGCGTACGCCATTGAAAGATTGCTACTCATTGAAAAACTTATACAAGTTTATGAAAACTCAGAAAGCGTCCCGCGTGCCCTGCAAGATGTTGTTAGGAATACTAAGATATATTTAGCACTTTGCAATTTTATTCATAATACTGTAAAAGAAATATGAAATATGGTATCGCTGTTTTTGAAAATATTGGATTGACAAATCTACACGGATTGAAACCTACAAAGAATATAATATAAAGAAGACTTGGCTTTAGCCTTTACGGGTTTTTGAAAATATGAAGAATTAAAGAAAATAAGACTTGACTTCGGCCTTTATGGATTTTGAAGAGATGGAAAGAAGAAAAATAAGACCTGGTTCCGGCCTTTACACTTTAAAATTCTATATATTCAAAATAAAAAGACAAGGCTGTATGGCCTAGTTCCTTTGCCTGCTCTCTCGAGCAAATAATAAAAACAAAAAACAACAACAACCACAGACTAGAAGGAACATACTACGGCTTAGCTTTCCTTTGACGTCCGTCGAGTTGGGTGTTGATACGCATTTTTACAGAAAAGTTACACTATTATAAGCACACACACAAAGTTTCAACAAGTGGAGACGCGTAATTTTTGAGAAAAGAATTATTGAAAATCAATTATTCTTGCAATGTTTATGTCTAATTCTACCGTAAAACTGGCGCCATTTTGTAATGTCAATATCGACGTCAATAGGGATGTCGATTCTTTCCGAAAAAGGTCGATTTTTAAATCGATTCAAAACGTAAGCTGATGTATCGGTTCACAAAAAATCGATTTCTAAAATATCTATATTTTTTTTATGTTTCTATTTATAATGTAAATATAAACCCATTTTATGAAAAACAAGAAAGATACCATAATAAATGATCTCTTATTAAAATTTGTTTTATTTAACAGTACCTATTAGGGCAGATAACAAATAAAATAGGTTAGGTTCAACTTATGTCAAAAAACCGAATTGATTGACCCCGACTCCACCTGGTACGAGTCTGTCCTACCCCTAGAGTGGTTTTATAGAGCCGGAGGCGCGTAGGGGGAGCAGCCTCCGCCTGCTGTAACAAATCGTAGGCATCGGACGAGCCGGAGCGGCTAAGGCTGGTCGCCGAAGGCGACCAACAAGCCAAAGCTGCGGAGGCGAGGAGGGATGCCTGCGATTTGTTACGCTAAGGCGTAGAGGCTGCCCTTCCCACAGCGCCGGAGACGTAACAGTCCCAAAATAGATACAGAAATCCTTCTGAATCGGTCCCCTTATTTTTTTATGACGAAGGTAATTTTTTTTTCATAAAATGGATTTATATTTACATTATAAATGCAAACATGAAAAAAATATAGATATTATAGAAATCGATTTTTGGGATTCGATACATCAGCTTACATTTCGAATCTATTTAAAAACTCGATCTTTTTCGGAAACAATCGACATCCCTACTGACAATAATAATAAAAAATGGCGTCAGTTTCATAGTAGGTAGGAATTGACATAAATATTGCAAAAATATTTAATTTTCAATACTTTTCTCTCACAAAGTACATGTTTCCGTATATTGAAACTTTGTGTGTGTGCTTATAAAAATGTAATCTTTCTGTAAAAAATACGTATCAACACCAAACTCGACGGACGTCAATGGAAAGTCGTACCCATACTACTCTCTAGCGACAGGACTAGATCATCTGTGGACTAGATAAAGGAGAAACTGATCTCAGAAGGGCTAGAACCCAGAGCCGTAAAGCTAGTTTAAAAAAAAGGAGAAACTGACGACTTAACCTTATTTTCACGTGTAAGGCGTAACTTGTAAACAATAAACTCTTTTATCATAAATGTATATAGTAAAGATTCTTTCCATATGATTTTCGACCTGAAATATTATAATGACGAAAGCCAGCAAAAAATATCATGAATTTAAAGGTATTATTGTTGTTTTCGGCTTGCATTTTATTGCGCGGTTATTAAAATTTTAGATTTATTTACCTTTTTTTTATTTTTAGCAATAGAACTTAAACTCACAGAGGAGTCGATATCACCACACACTATATATATAAAAGAGCATTCAGTTCGAGAACATACGCCAGACAAACCATCCGGGCGTACTCTTTTCATTATCAACGTGCCACCATACGCTGATGAAAATGGTCTTAGCAATGCGTTCCTTGAAGCCGGTGCCGTACAATGTGTGCAATTCTGTATCAAACCTAATGCAACTGTTATGGAACCTGTAAAGAAATTTTTATCAGAAACTGTAAATCCGACTTTTAGAATTGCCTACCTAGTCTTCAAAAAGGTTGCATATCTAGATAAGGCTTTAAAACTGACAAAATTAAAACCGATGTACTCTGTAATTCAGGAGGTAAAAATTGGTTTAGACAAATGGATAGAACAGCACAATAATTCAATACAGTTACCTAAAACCTTGAAAGAAAGCATTGAAGTGTTTATGAAGTCTTATGATGAAGAAATTAAGAAAGCAGAGGAAAAAGAGAAACAATTAGAACAAGAAGATGATGAAGGTTGGGTAACAGTTACAAAACGTGGCAAAGTGCAGAGTTTTGCTCGCACAGAAAAAGTTGAGAGTAAAATTATGGCTAAAGAGGAGAAAAATAAGAAAAGGAAAGAGTTGAAAAACTTCTATACTTTTCAGATAAGAGAATCAAAAATGAAACACATTGTTGCGCTTAGACAAAAATTTGAAGAAGATAAAAGGAAAATAGCTCAAATTAAACAGAGTCGTAGATTTAAACCTTTTTAATAAAACAAATTTAATATTACAAGCTATATTCATTTACAAATTTATATATATTTACATTTTTCTATTAATAAAGCAGAACATTTAATTCAAGTGTTTGACCCAAGCATAAACATTATATAATAAGACTATGCAGTGGCATAGCTATGTAGCCAAAAGCTCCTGGGCAAAAATGAAATTGGGGCCCTATTTAAACTTAACTAAAAACTATAGTCTCCGTTGACACCCCTCTTGGCTCATTGGAGCAGTCTCATCCGGACTATGGTGCCACTTACACTCCGATAGCAGTTGCGTTCTGCAGGTCGCCGCCTGTGTTTGGCACTTTTTTGCATCCTTCCCTTGAGGACAGGGGTGGGTATGCTTCTCGCCAGATGATCCCATGTGATTCTGTCGCTGATGTGGTACTTCACGGAATGGCACTCTTTATTCTATCTCCTGTAAAATTGCATCGCACTATAATAGGAGTGCTTCACCAGCGCTGTTAAAAAGAAGTATAATTTCGCCTTCAGATCGGTACGATATGGTTTACACAGCGCTCGGTGTGCATAGCACTACTCTCCCTAGACGTCAAGTAGAGTGGGCCTGATGGAGTTCCTATCATTGTGCTGGAGACATGTGCTCCGTAGTAGTACTTTTTTAAAATTCTTTCTCGCTCCCAAGCTCAAAAAAGACAGCTTTAGTGGTTAGTGCACCAGATCCCTAAAAAAATAATCGAAAAGTCGACCGCTCAGACTTATCCAACTTGTTCTCCAAGATATGAAAACCATTGTGATCTGCCAGCTCATGAGCTTGAGGATCACCAACTGAAAAGTGACCGCCAGTACGATTTCCGTTGGGGTTACTCAGCTGGTGATCTCTGGCTTACTCATAAATCGGCGGAGGCAGAGAGGGAGACCCTGGCCGTTTGAACATAGCGAAGGCCTTCGATCGGGTTTGACACAAAGCGCTTCTTTCGAAGCTCCCTTTCTATGGGCTTCCCGAGAATTTGTGCAACAGGATCAGCAGTTTTATTGGCAGGCAAAATTGTAGTAGAAGGTGCATGGTTCATTTACTAGCCTATTTATGTTGGTGTTCCACAAGGCTATGTGGACCATACCTACGCTGTTTCTTATGCTTATCAATAATATATTGCGAGCCAGTAACATGCACTGTTGATGATTTATACACCGGTTGTGCTTATATTTATCGGGGAAAAAGTCGCCGAGTACCGGAACAAACTTGTATCTGAAGTCGAAACTTTGCCGAATAAGGTCTCGGATTGGGGCATTAAGTTCAATTTCCAGAAGTTTGAGCATTTACCATTAAAAAGAACCCCTTTGTCGTAACTCCTCAATTTCAGGGCACTCCCCTTGTTACATCAGCCAGTATCGGAATCTTGGGCGTTGATATATCAAATAAGTTTCGTGGTCACTTGGAAGGGAAGGCTGGATTAAAACGCTTGGCGTGCTCAGAAGAGTGGGACAGTATTTTATACCGGCACACTGCTTGACAGATTCAGCCTAACATGGAATACTGTTCTCATCCCTGGGCAGGGGCTTCCTAGTACCAGCTCCTTCCTCTTGACCGCAATCAGAGCAGAGCGGCTCGAATCGTAGACGACCGACAAAGATGAAAGTCGAGATGAAGAGATGTTACATCCCATTGCATTTTCTATCGCATTGAGCACAGGGAGTGTTCAGATTAATCGATTCGTTGCGGCACCAATTTTCGACAACTTTTAGCTGTGGCGGCGAACAAATATTTCATGACACGTCTAATTAGTAAGAATAGCAAAACAAGTGTTTTCAAAAGCAAAAAAACGCCGGCGCTATACGGCGGCGGATTGACAAAAGACTATTTATTAGCGAACTTTTTTTATGCATGAACGGTTTCGAACTGTTTCAAGCAAAAATAAACCTTATACCATATCACAAGAGCACATGGTACTTCGTAGGTCTATTCGGCCATATGATAGTAATAAGATGGCAGTTCAACCATTTTAAGCAAAATTAAACAATAAGACAAACGCATTGTTTTTTTTAACAGGAGACTTGTTTTCCAGAAATTTATTAGCAACTTGAGTTTGTGAGCGATCGTAATGAGTGTTATTATTTGTTACTTATTAGACAATTTTTCCATAACATGATTTTAAACCTACAAAGTAAAAATAGTACCATGTACACGTTAAGAAAAGGTTGTCAATTTCAAATTTTCAAAATATCCAGAAACGACGCTGCATGCATGAACTACTCGCAAAATAATGACTATTTTGTTCTGGATTTTCCAAAAAAGCAATTTGAGCGAGTTATAACGATTTTTAAAAAGACACGACTCGCGTGTCATACGCCACACACAAAAGTAATCGATGGCACGCCTGGCGTGTCATCCGCGCACTGAACCGGTTAATTCCAGACACAAAATTTCATCAACGCATTTCACAAATCCACATCATCGGGATGTTTGGCAGTCCACTACTGTCCGATTTACTTTACCATTTACGTTTACCACCGGTGATTTTTCCGGGCCGATAAGACTTAGGGACCTTCAAGAAACGAGCTTACTCCGCTTAAGCCGGAAACGCGCCTACAATTTCCCTGGTGTTGTATTTATTAATAGGCGGTGGCGAAACTTGCCATCAAGTGAGCCGCATACTCGTTTGTCCCCCTCTTCTATATAAAAAAGACAATAAAACGAAATAGACAATTATCTTTAACAATGTTATATAATTTATGTTCTGGAAGTGGGAGTAATTTTTGTAATTTCAGTTCGAGCCGTTCACGGTCAGGAGCCAAAAAGTTAAAACTCGAAAATTCTTTATACAACTAGTATAATACATAATTTTTCGAACGTCGTTCTTGGAGGCCGAGGGGCCCCGTGGCACTAGCCTGCCTTGCCCCTGGGTAGCTACGCCACTGAGTCTACGCATAAAACAATGTACAGACGGTTTTGTCATTAACTTTATAAACAGTTTAATTTAGCTCTCAAAGTATAGTTCTTTCTAATTTGGATTTGACAAAATCATGAGAAATTGACAAAATCTGAAAGAAGCGAAAGAGGTATGTAAGGATCGTGACACTTGGCGATCTGTTCTCTCTGGCAACCCCGTCAGGGATTGTGCGTGAAGATAAGTAAGTAAGTATGAGAATGGTTTGACAGAATTCTGACCGGAAAATTCCATTGAGTATCTTCAGTTTTCTTGTTTTTTATGATCATCATTTTTGCTTTTATGTATTCGAAACTTATTATTGTAACCCTGCATATTGAAACTAAAATATTACTAAACATATCATATTGCTTGCTGATGTGTCTTGATTACAATCCTTAATAATCTATTTTCTGGTAATGTGTCCAAAGATGCTAACAGACTGCTGATGTTGCCATAGACACAGCCATTAGCCAAAGCTACTTGCACTGCTTGGCCTATCCGGTCGAGGCAGTCCTGAAAATAAGAAAAGTATTATTAATAAAGAGAGAGTTTACTCAGACTTCACATTGTCAAAATTTCTCAGACTCAACATTTCAATAACATTATAGGACAATTATAAATATATATCAATATATACATTAAAATTGCCTCTAAATACCAGCTTAAGATTCAATTGTTGAGACAGAAGAATCTTTTTTTTTATATTCTACTAAGCCAGCGCTTAACTGCAATCCCACCTGATGGCAAATGGTGATGTAGCCTAAGATGGTGAAGCGATCTGACTTAACAAAAGTCTATTCACTCTTGCCTCGAAGACACCGGCAATGTAAACCGATGGAAAGATAGATGCCGGCAACTTATTCCACTCCTTTGCTGTACGCGTGATGAACTATGTAGCGAATCGTTTAGTTCGAATGCGTGGTAAGTCCACAACGAAAGGGTGGAGACTGGCCAAACGTCTAGTTGTCCGATGGTGGAAGGGAGAGGGAGGAATTAAATAATGCAATTCATGCGCACACTCCGAAATGCATCCTGTAGAAAACCGAAAGGCTGGCTACTTTGCGTCTGTGTTCGAGGCTGGTAAAATTGGTTTTAATCAAATTCGGGTCACCAATAAGTCTTTTAGCAAGCCTTTCCATTGAGTCCAAAGCTGCTATGTAGGTTTTTTCAGCACCAAACCATATATAGCAGCAATACTCCATGCACTACCGGACTTGCGCTTTATATAAAGTAAGCAGCTGTCCCGGCGTGAAGTATCGCCGCATCTTCGCAAGGACTCCCAACTTCCTTGCAGTGCTCTTTTTTGCAGTGAAGAGACACGCTGGTGTTTTGGAGGCGTTGAATTCCACAAGATTGGCATCGCCAGTCTGTAGTGTGAGATTCAAATGCTACCATGTATTCTCTTTCAGACTGGATTTGATCCTGACTGGCCCGAGGACTTGCTTGGTATCTCTCCACAACTGTGCTATCGTCTGCATACCCCTAGATACCGGGCACAAGCAGATCATTAATATGCAACAGGAAGATAGTTGCGGAGAGAACGGACCCCTGAGGAACACCGGCGTTAGTCGCCATAGGATCGGATGAGCAGCCATCGACAACGACCCGGAGAGACCATTCACTAAGAAAGTTCTTTACCCATTCAAACAGAGATAGGGAATAAGGGATAAGCCGTAATCTGGAAGCTTACCCAAAAGGCTTGCGTGCTAAACTTTGTCAAAGGCCTTCGAGACATTAAGGGAAACAGCAAGTGCTTCCCCACTGTTCTCGAGTGCCTTGCCCCGTACGTGTGTATACACGCTAGAAGGTCCCCAGCTGACCGATATCGGCAAAACCCATATTGCCGGTCACTAAGGAAGCCATTCTGTTCTAGGTTTTTTTTATAGAATAAGAGTGACAAACGAGCTCACAGTCCACCTCATGGTAAGTGGATGCTGTGGCCCATAGACATCTACTACATTTAACCTCAATTAACTACTCAACCGTCCACGGTGTGTGACCGTCTACATCGGGTGCCCTAGTTGCTTCCTTTACCAGCTGAGACAGACCTAGCGTCAAAGCAAAATTTCACGCTTATCTTCTAGCATGGTCGGTCTTCTGGTACGGGAACAGCCAGTCTTGGTGACAGGCGTTAAAGTCCCCCAGAAAGACCAACTGTGCGGTAGAATACCTATTTAGGGCCACGTCAGCAGCCTCACTAAGATGATCAAATAATCATGTTGTCTCCTGGTCACCGCTGTTCGATCGATAGACCCAGATTGTCGAAAAAGTGGAGTCTTCAAGGTGACAGAGACGCTGGAAGCAGATGTCATTGCGGACGTACACACAGACTCCGGCACGTAGATGGAATTTGTGCTCCAGGAAGAATCCAGGATAGTCAAGGTACGCCGCATTCAATGGACATCCAATTTGAGTCTCCGTCAAGAAAAGTAGGTGCGGCTTCTCAGTCTCAAGATGGCGATGAACTGCGCTGAGATTAAAGTGCAATCCTCGAATATTAGTGAGGTGCACTTTTAATTAGAGGACGTGCAACCGCTGTTTAGCAGTATTTTTCTTTTTAAAGTACATATTAAGTGTAGGGAGTGAATAAGGATGGAAAGTCGCAGTTGAACGGAGCGTTGCATTAGCAACCAAACGATACTATCAGAGTTACTGCGCCCATGGGAACTAGACCTGGAGACTGCGGGGACGCCCGAACCCCCCAGAGATCGCCATCGGGTCCTCTCGCCCGGTCGCTAACCGGCACGATGGAGCCATCCTGGGATTTTTCGCTACTTGGCGGGGCAGCCTTTCATGAGTAGCTGATTCACTAATTGGACCCCCAACTACTTGCGGTCGGCCAGCGGAACGTCATTCTTCAGAATCCGCTACCCTCCACGACCAAGCACCCGACACAGCAACTGCTGACGCTTCGTTCCCGGTTTACATACACAACGCTACTATTTTTCAGACCCATTCTCCTTGTGGTTTCACCAAACATCATGCCGGAATACGACAACGTCATTTGGCGACAATACTTTGCATTGGTGGGTGGTACCTACCACAGGAATTGGTACTGCCCATTTAGCACTACCCGTGGGACACGTGTAGGGAGTCAGATTTCAAGTATTTGCTACGGACGCAAACAGCTTCGTCCCCCAAATCTTTAAAGAAGACTTGGAAATAAATCTAAGCCCTTGGTATAGGTATTTTAATAGCCTATTTTATAAAATGCAATAAATTTCTCATGGTTTCCTATAAATGATCGTATTTAATTGTTCAATGGTCACAACTTGCAGAGTTTCCTTTGATTTTCTACTCTAGTCAAGGGAACCTCATTTTGAATTTCAATTCATCGATCAGAAGAGTATCGACATTATATATAAGAAAAATAAATTCTCAACAAAACATTCCATTTCAACACTGACTATATTTCCAACTGTATCATTTGCAATTTCACAATTATATCCGCTACGAAATATTACACAGCTCTCATTGCCAGCAAGTTAAATTGTTAGAAAAGTGTAAAAATTTAAGTTTATTTCTGAAATATTAGTTATATTTTGTATTAATTAGATAAGAAATAGATAAAACCAATAACGCAAAATCCTAAAGAATTTTAAGTGTGTAAAATATGAAAGAACGCACTACTGACGCATAGTTTTGTGTACCTATAATACAAATAAGTAAAATTGACGTGTCTGTTTGTAATGTAATAATTACAGTTTTTTACTAATGCATATGAAAGTTGTGGCGGCGCTGTCGTTGTGCCACAAGCGAAACACATCGAAGCCTAAGTCGCGCTATCAAAGTTCCGAAATTAAAGCAGCATATATAGAATAGCTCCGAACTACCAATCGGAGCGCTGGCCGCTCCCCGGGCAGAACACCTTGCCCGGCGGGAGATCTCCCCTTTTCCTTCCACCCGCTACAGTGGTGACCAACCGACGTGATATGAACACGCAACCAATAACCTTCGGAAATTACACCTTCAAACCTTCATCATCCTTAAGTACCCCATTCATTCGCTCCCGAGCAGATATTGTCTGCAGTCTTCACATTCTGCAAGCCATCTAGCTTTACAAAAGGTTCATCGCAGCACTGGAATAATAATGCTTCCTGTTCCTTCAAGCTACTCTCTGCGCTACAGTGTTCGGCACGGCTCTGAGCCTTACTGCTCGCCTCTGCTTCACGGCACTCTCGCAGATTACTTGCCTTCTTCTCGACTCACCGCAGACTACAAGGCAATCCCTGGCACTTTCTCCGGCTCATCGTTCTCACCGGCATCACTTGCAAGTGCGTAGTACGGCATGCATTACACACCGGCATATCATTCGCACCGGCGTCACTTGCCCTTACGCACACAGCATGCATTCCCCACCTGCATTAAGGACGCACCGGCAATCGGACTGCACTATCGACCTCCGGTCTGAGCAGGGGGGGTGATGTGGCGGCGATGTCGTCGCGCCACAAGCGAAACACATCGAAGCCTAAGTCGCGCTATCAAAGTTCCGAAATTAAAGCAGCATATATAGAATAGCTCCGAACTACCAATCGAAGCGCTGGCCGCTCCCCGGGCAGAACACCTTGCCCGGCGGGAGATCTCCCCTTTTCCTTCCACCCGCTACAAAGTAAATACGGTACTTATAACTTAAATAAAATTTTTGTCTGTCTGTTTGTTCCGGGTAATCTCCGAAACGGCTGGACCGATTTTGACGGGACTTTCACTGGCAGATAGATGATTTCATAAGGAGTAACTTAGGATATTTTTAATTTAGAAAAATAATTAGGGTTCCGCACAAAAACATAAAAACCCTAACAGGCGAGCGAAGTCGCGGGAAACAGCTAGTATACAATACAATAGAAACCGAATAAACGCAACTTTTCAATGATGACGAGACTGTAACCATTTCTGTGACAAATAAGTTTACCTCGGTCCCAACTAGCGACATCTGGTAAGTGTAAGATTATTAGCCTATAAATGAGCCAACTCGGAAAAATTACGACTCGAGTTAGCAGTATGAAAAAGAGTAAATGATTTGTTACAAATTACTTTCTTATAAATTTGTTTTTCTATTTATCTCTTTGTTGGGATGGGATAACTATAATTAGCCAACTTATTATGTAAGATTCAAATAAAAAGGTATATTTAGTATCTATCATATACTTATGTATTTTTGGTTTTAATTTTAATTCTGTAAGTACCTGTATTTAACAACAAAACTAGGTATATAGCAGTCTTCACGAAACAATATTAGTTTAATTATCACAGTCAAAATATTCTTAAATAAATTCAAATTCAAAATATTTATTGTAAGTTAAGTGTTACATTGGCGTTAATTTAAAATATTATGTATCTTACAACTTAACCACCCTTTTCGGGTATCACAATAATAGGTCTTTGACTTACATAACTATATTGATCATAATTAATCAAAATTATAAAAGAAATTAAAATACATAACTTAGCTATTATAAAATTCTAAATAACAAATTGTTTTGGTTGTAGCTAAATACTCCTTGAAATACAAAGCGCGCACACAACGAACGAATCGCGCGCATACTCTTTTGCTCGCTCACTTGATCCGCTCATGTACAGCAGCCTAATCTCGAGTTAGAGAGATCCAACTCGAATTAACTCGAGTTAAGCGCAACTCGAGTTAACTCGAGTTGACCCATCACTATATTAGCCATATTTCTTGATTTACCTGCAGCTTCTGATCAGTGTTGATCTTGCATCCTCTATCAAGCAGCCTCTGTGCATATTCCCTGACGGCCGGCAGCAATGCTGTGACCCGCTGAGCTGCCACCGCTGCCGGCGGGCCCCGGCGCCGCCACGCGCGCAAACTCTGTAGTAAGCCCAGTTGCAATTGTATATACAACTGCGACTCTGACTGTGCTTTAACTGTCTTTAGTGCACCCCGCTCCCCTTCGATTTTAATTTTCTTCGGTGGAATCTCTAACATCTCAGCATCTGTGACGGGAGACAATATACTTTTGTGGATTTGTTTACACGTAAAATAGAAAAAAATGTTGTAAGAAAGTACTTGTGTGAGAACTGTCAAGTGTGTCAATCCCTCTGCAAGATGCAGGAGTGTAGAAGCTTGATTGTGAATGGGCTCTCTTACATAGAGCAAACTAAAAGACTAATAGAGACCCGCGTTAAAGAACACATAGCTGATGTAAAGAATCGACGCTCCGAGAAGTCTGCAGTCTGTGAGCACATACAGGATCATCCCCGTCACTACTTCAGATTTGATAGACCACAAATCCTCCCTAAAGAACACCGACTCCTTCCAAGGATGATTCGCGAGGATATTGAAATCAAAAACATCCTAATTTCAATAGAGAAGATGGCTGGATGCTACCATCTGCTTGGGATCCTATCTATACTATAATATAATAAAGCGGAAGAGTTTTTTGTTTTTTTGTTTGTTTAAACGCGCTAATCTCTGGAACTATCAGTCCGATTTGAAAAATTCTTTTTGTACATTATAGCCAGATTCATGTGGAATAGTATAGGCTATCTAGCATTAAGCTATATTACTCAGCTAGCCTTAAATATGGATATTTGTTAAGCAAGTCAGAAGAAAAAGCACTCCTGAAATGATTTATCCGCGTACGCTGGTGTTATCGTTAGGGATAAGTAAATACAATGTTCTAGAAAAATATAGACCTTTACTCCGTCTAAAAAAAAAGTCCGCGATACCATATGTCTATTTTTTATACATAAGCCATAATTTGGTATTTTGTGACAAAAAATATTGAAAATTTAAAAGTGATTTATGAGCGTTATTATTAGGCATGGCCTATTTATCCTTACGAACGAAAGTTACTTCATCATCAAGACAATTTTATGAAGATAAACTTTGTTCTTTATACCATGTTATTTGGACGCATAGTTTAAGAGATAATGTAAAATTAAAATAATTCAATACTTGGCAGGGCGCGCGAACGACGCTTAAACCCTAGCCGTTATAAAATGCTTGAACTAGGTCATGTTGCGCACCTCAGACACGTGATGACGCGGGTGAAACCGCGGGGCACAGTTAGTAATTAATAAAATTAAATCCCAACCCAAGCATACAACTGCAAGACTTCAAGATACTATAAGTTGATACTGCATAGACCGGACCAAAATTAACAATTTTAATCTGGAGGTAGTCATGGTTAACTATGACATCGGGACCGAAGTGCTCTAGGTCATAGTTAACCTCGAACACTTCGGTCCCTCCTGTGACCGTGAGTGCTGTAAAGTGCTCGAAACGTCGAGAATTTAAAATAAGTTAATATACGCGATAAAATCCGTAAAGACTAGTTTTATTTAAATGATAATAGATTTTTCATTGGGCAACATTGATACAACTTAAACAAAAGAAATTTTAGACAAAAAATAATGTTAGGCAAAGATGACCTCCACCATGTCGAAGGGTATTTGTACCTATTTAACCTTTTTATATATTAACCTATTTAAACTTGTACCAGATTAAAAATATACTTTGTAAATTATCATATTATATTAAAATTTTATAAAATAGAGGAAAGAAGTAGACCACATATATTCAGGTTAATTTTCTTAACAATGTTAGCATGTTGCCAATTCATAATGTACCTCTTTCTTAGGTCTGCTTTTCTTTCTTACTAGATGGCATAACATAATTATGTTATATTCTTTAGAATGTCGCTAATATTTGAACTAATTAGATAAAAATAATAATTTAAAACTGTTGTATGTATTTTAGTTTTCAATCTGACATGTTGATTACGAAAGGTTGGTTGGCATGTCACAATAACACTTGAAGCTATTAACAAAAAAAAAATATTACCTTCATCAATGTACAGCGGCGCAAAGGCGCACCATCGAACTAAACCAGCAAGTGGTGTGACTGCCGCCATAGGAATTGCGCCACTAGGTAAAGCGGCTGCATTCAACTGTGCTGACATGCACAATGTCGGCGTGGAGTACACCTGAAACCAATAAAGTAAAGTTACAGCTTTTATCCGTCCCACAGCTCACCATAGGGTCTCTCTCATTTCTAAGAGGAATTTGGAGCAAATAGTTTGCCATATAAATTTTACAGACTACATGTCCTTGAAATATTACATTTCTAAGACATGCAGGTTTTCTCATAATGTTTTCCTTCAGTACCAATTATATCGTAAATCAGTATGTAAAATTACAATTAACAATTTGGTTAGTGCTGACGGAGATCGAATCCAGATTGCTCGCATACTGTGAAATGCGCTTCTGACTTTTCAGAATATACGAGTACCATGATACCTTTTTAACATGTTGTGGAAATAGTAGTAATTATTTTTACAATAAATCTTTGAAATGCCACACCTATGCTAGAAGTTGTTGAATTCCAAGTTGTTTACAATGACTCGTATTTTTACCTAGGACAAATTGTCTAACTTTGGCCAAGATTAATTGACAAATCCAATTCGGCTGGCCAGCACTTAAGAGATTATGACACATCTTCTCGTCACTCCTCTCAAGAATTTATAACGCCTATTTGAAGCGAGGTCCTTCACTGCTGGCAGTATGAGAAAGCTTATCAGGTCTCTGCAAGCTACGGAGAGCTTTGCTGGCTATGCCTGAAGTTTCTCTGTGTGATAGAACCCATAAAGATGCTATCTGCAGATGAACCAGAGTAACCCAACACACTCAACTAATCAGTCTGCTAAAGTGGCAATGGGCTGGCCATGTAGTTTAAAGAACTATTACAAGTTACGTGACTCAGGTTTCCTGTTTTATTGCATTCAGGAGGCTTATGTTTAGCAATGGATTGAACGGTCTTATGAACAACTTTAATGATGATGATGAAAATCTGCTAATTTTTTTTTTCTCAAATAGGACTCACTATATTATGGCTAAATATTACCCGCTGTTTGACAATTAAACATTGAAAATCCATTCCAAATATTTAAAAACCAACAGTACAAGAATATTATTACTGTACTTAGCACATGCAAGAATTGGTGAACTATCGTGAATGATCTATCTGACACTATCGTGAATGCCTATATTAAGATGAACTATCTGACACTATCGTGAATGCCTATATTAAGTACATGTGACACATGTAAAGAGGAATTTGTTAGTTAAAGTAATCTATACAAATAAATAAAATTGAAGTGTCTGTTTGTAATGTCAAAATTACAGTTTTTTCCTAAATGCATATGAAAGTAAATACGATACCTATAACTAAAATACAATTTTTAAAATTTTTGTCTGTCTGTCTGTCTGTCTGTTTGTTCCGGGTAATCTCCGAAACGGCTGGACCGATTTTGACGGGACTTTCACTGGCAGATAGCTGATTTCATAAGTAGTAACTTAGGCTACTTTTATTTTAGAAAAAGAATCAGGGTTCCGCGCAGAAACATAAAAACCCTAACACGCGAACGAAGTCGCGGGGAACAGCTAGTATTTTAATAATCAAATAATTACTAACCCAAAATGTTATAACTTCAAGAAGATTCTTAGGTGGTAATTTGATTGGCTTCTGAGTTTCTTGCATATAAAGTTCAGTGACTGCTGTAATAAAATTGCAGACAAACTGTGGTGCTGTGCTAGCTAGGGATTTCAAGGCGGTCAGGTTGGTTGTGTTCAAGTAGAAGTGATCTCTGATTATATTTTCTACCAGTTGCAAGGACTGAGGAGATGAACATCCCATTTGTTGGAGCCATACCCCCACTGCTAACAGCACCTTGTTAAATAAATAAGAAATTCGATTAAGCACTAAGAAAAAGGTTTTATAAAGTAACATCGTGCTTACTTAGGTTTAAAGAATTTATTTTCAAAAAGACAAACAATGTCATTTACATGAAAATAATTATTACATTTTAGTAATTTTATTCTAATGGTCGCCGAACACTCATTCAATAGCATCGCAGCCACAATTGAATGGTGAAAAATGTTCAATTATATATTGAGACACCTGAGACTTAAAACTATTGAATGAGCTTACATTTTTTTATATTACAAGGCAATTTATTATAAATCAGTGCTCCTTCAAAAGTAATGCCTTTTTTGCGTAGTATATTCGTACCTTTGGTAGTACAAGTAAACTAGGTCGACGAAGACTGTGTTTACGAATTTCTGATTTTTTTACAAAAGGCAAGTTAGTATGGATGGTTTTATCAAGTATTTTCCTAATTAAAATGTAAGTATTATATATATGTAGTTGTTGAACGTTCATAAGTTTTGTTTCTTTGAAAATTTTAAAACTTGGTGTTAGATATGGATAGTCCCAAATTTCTATAAGATAAAGTAAATGTGATTTGATTAATTAGTTATAAATAGTGTACTGCATTTTTTTAGGTAGGCAATGGGAAATATTGTGAAGTGATCCTGTAAGTGCCTAAAGTTTATTTTTATAATTCATAATCTTTATTGCAATCAAATGGTAACAATAGATGTGTTTTTAAAAAATAGTCCGCATTTGAAACCCGGTTTGGGCGTAGCAATTATAAAATATTAAATTATATTATTAGATTACATCAATAAATTAATTAAATTAACAATCACATTGTCATGACAAAGAAAGAACAATGATAATAATTTAATGTGATTTATTTGCTTATTCCATGTTAAGTAGTTGTCCATTCTCAAGCCTAGGTATTTTTCGCAGGTATTTTGTTCTAAGGGGATGTTAATTGTCAGTGGGTCATGTAATGGTATAGTTTTGTTTTTGATTTAAAAATTATGTAACATATTTTAGAAGTGTTTACCGTCAGCAAATAGTATTGGAACCACTCAAACAATAGTTCTAGATCTTCTTGCACTTGCGAGATAATATCATGTATAGATCAGAAATAAAACATATATGTATCGTCAGCATACAAAGTTATATGACCATGTAGCCCTAGTTCTGCAATATGGTTTACATAGACTGGAAATAGGAGTGGCCCCAGTATGGATCCCTGCGGTACGCCATGCGTGACAGGTAAGGCACTACTGTGAAAATTATCCAGCTTCACTACTTGCGATCTATTTGATAGGTATGATTTAAATATTTTATGAGCACTTCCTTTGATACCGATGCTTTCATGTTTTTCTAATAGCAATTTGTGACTTACAGTATCAAAGGCTTTTTTAGATCGATAAAAACACCTTAAACAACTTGCTGTTTATCTATACTGTCTTTTATTTTCGTTGTTAGATCGATCGATCGTGCGGTAGTGGTGCTACTTTTGGCTCGAAATCCATATTACCGTTGTGATGAAAGTTAAAAGAATTTAAGTAATTTACTAAGCGGTTATGTATGACTTTTTCAAAAAATTTTGAACATGATCGGTAATATTGATATCGGACAATAGTTTCCTGGGTCGGTTTTAGGTCCCGATTTATGGATAGGTGTTACCTTTGCAACCTTCATAGTATCTAGAAACTCTCCATCGATCATAAGTTTATTGAAACATTGAGCTAAGCCATGTGCTATCAAATTTTGTAGGCACTTTATAACTTTTGTCCTAATTCTGTCTATACCACTACTAGAATTTGAATCGAGGCTTTGTATAATTTTGCTAATTTCAATAGCAGTAAATGGGGCTAATGTAGAAAGTTCATTACCATTTACTGTTTGTGTTTTGGAGAAACGAGAAGTGGCGGTACTATGATATTTCTTATGTTTTTTATCTACTAATTGGGATCCAATAGTTGAAAAATATTCATTAAAAACTTCGCAAATCTCGACTGTGTTACTGATTGACTTGGAATCGACAATAAGTTTTGGAGAAGCACAATTTTGTTTGATTTTATTGTTTGCTAGATTATTAGATTACTAGATTATTACTTATCCACAATAAAACACTATTCTACAGTTATAAATAGACCATTAATAGATATTAGACTACTCCCTTTAAGTATGGTTCGACTGGGGGAAGGATCACGCTCTCACAGAACATCAGAATAAAATAGAACTTAACGCTGCTGTTTCGTATAATGAGGAGTGTAGAGTGCCAGTGACCCCTTTACTGAAAAGAAGGCATTCCATCTCAGTCCTAACGGGTGACAACTCCTTTGCATTTTGATTTGTAGTCGAGTATAGATGTTTATGAGCCATAGCAACCACTTACCATAAGGTGGACTGTGTGCTCATTTGTCACACTTTCCTATAAAAAAAAGTTCTGATTGGGTAATACAGCACTTGTCATTGTATCATTAAACATTTTAATTGTAGAAGAAAGTAGTATAAACACATGTATATGCCACAGCTGGGCATCAGCTGAGACGATTGTGGAACAAGGGGTCTTTGAAGAATTTTATTTCTCGGACATAGAGGTTTCCGAACAATATTTTCTTACATCGCTGAGCATTTCGAAAATAAAAAGGGTAAATAACAATGAATAACATAAGTATTTAAGTGAAAGTTATTGTCTGATACAAAACCACCTGCTCATAGTGCTTTTACTCACTTTTTTGTGATAATTTTGTTTAATTTTTAAAAGAAACATTAACCCTACACTAGGATTTTCTCCCGCATCGTGGAGGCAGTTTACAAACACAAATTGCACAAGGACAAACATCCAGACGCGGAACATCTATTTGTAGGCCATACAAATACTTGTTCCATGCGGGATACGAACCCGCGCCCCCCATCGCAGCAACTCATTGCTAAGCCACTGCGCTACAGAGCCGTCAATAATTGCATGGTTAATGAATTAAGTGTTCTAACACTTTTTAGTTTATTTACTTGTATTGATTTATACAGTCAGAACTACCACTGTATATGCAGTGGCTAGTTAGTTTATTCCTAAAACCTTACCAAATATTTAGTACACAGTATCTTCCAAATCTTATTGATTGATTGATTGGTCTAGCGAAACAACTATTCATTTCATATCTATTTATGATACATTAGTACACCTTATCAAAGTTCTAGGGGTATATGTATATGATCTTTCCATAGATGACATGCTTAGTAGGCAGATTTGTAACAGTTGGTTTTGTTTTCAGGAAGATACTGCTACCAGACTCGTGTCTCACTTCCCTCTGTCGCCTCTTACAACAACCAGTGGTAGTGGATTCTCTTATGCCCCCACTACACAGTGTAAATTTATTATAATATATTACACCAGCTGGTACCTGGCTCATTACTGCCACAGAGGAAATAATTATGTAAATATTGTTTTAAATTTTGGAGAGTTATATTATTTAATTTGGAATGATAATACAATGATTGAAGTTGAATAATATAAACTTTTAAATAAATTTGTCTGTATGATATGTGCTCATTTACTGTAATTAAATTTTACTATGCCTATAAATTTTACACTAGTGCACGCAATATGTTGATTCAATTTTAGCACAATCTGATTAATGGTATGGCAGCTCATAAAATATGAACAAACAAATATTAATTTTTATATATTAGATTATTAGTCAGAATCTAATACTTCAAAAATTATATTGAGTGATAGCAGAGTATCAATTTTAAATATGTATTCATAAGGAAGGAATACCTACTGGAGTGCTAGATGCAGAAACAGCCATACTAGCCAGTATGCTCAGAATTTTTAACTTTCTCTGATTTTCCATGCCACCAAATAAGGACAAAAATATTGTGTTCTTTGTAGTCTCATTACTGCAGGCCGAGAGGTAATCACAGATAATATCAATAAGCTGTAACTCCTGTAACGGATTAAGCCCGCCACCCCGCCGGCCTCCGCGGCGGTCTGCATCGCAAAAAACAAATTCTGATATGATTTCCATAGCAATATCCAGTTGCTTACTTGTTGGTGCAGCTCTGCCTACTAGTAGTTGCTCTGGAAATAAAAGTAGTGTTATAGTAGTACATTACCTACAACAACCCTAAATCATGAAAAACTACACTCACCAATTTTAATTAAAGCTTCTTTAGAACATGCTGGAAACTCCAATTTCCTCAAAGAATGTTTTAAGTCAGATAAAGACATTTTTAATTTATAAACCCCACAATTAAAAATTTTTACAAAATTCTTTTTGTAAATAAACACAATTTTGACATTTGACATTTGACGTCAGACTAGTTGATGTTATTGCGATTCGAATTAAGGCTGGCTAAGGCCATACAGCCTATTCTGATTTGTATTTTGTTCTCAAAACTTCACAATATGCTAATGTTCCTGCAACTGAAAACTTTCTAGTCTTGAACATTTTTAATGATAGCTCAACCAAGTGTACATTTCACGTCAAAACTCCGTATATGCTAAATCAGACTAGGCTGTATGGTCTATGACCTTTGCCTGATTAAATTGGCCTTTCGCAACTACATTAACTGCTCGGACATTTTCGACAGGAACTTGATTGACGGCAGAAATTTGCTTCTATTTTATTGTTTATTTATATTATTTGAAGTGGATTTTTATACGTTAAAGTGGGGCGATTATGTATATGCGAATGTCTATGAATGTAAACTTTTAGTGGAAACTATGTAATAAAAGTTTCGATGGTGATATAAAATAATTTTTGTAATAATCTTATATATTTCGAGGCCTTAAGATATTATCGTTATTCAGTGTTCGCTGGCTTAAGCTGCCGTCAAAATTTCTCAAAAACTTTGCATTGTGACGTATCAGATAGAATAAATTTTGTAAACAAAATAAAAATCAGAATAGGCTGTGTGATCTAAGACCCTTGCTTGTCTTGGCGAATCGAAACAAAAAATAGAAGACGCTTGTACTTATGTCAAGTTGTCATATGTCAATGTCAAGTAATAATTTTACATCGCGAAATATTTTCGACTTTTACAATTCGTTATTTAGCAAATAGCATAATAAGTATATACAGGAATATTTAGATTATCGTACCCAGCAATGGAAGTTATAGTCGCTAATGTAGACCATATTAAATTCGATATAGATTATGCCTTGGAACAGCAATATGGAGCATTACCACTACCGTTTCCTGGAATGGACAGTGAGTCTCATCTTTCTGTACATAAATTTTTAACAGAATTGTTTTTAATGAGCTAAATATTTATCTCAGTGAATTATTCGTATATATTTTAGAGTCTACTGCGGCCGTATGCGAATTTTACAGTCAGCCAGGAGGATGTAACAATGGGCCCCAATGTCCCTACAGACATGTTCGTGGCGATCGTACTGTTGTCTGCAAACATTGGTTGAGAGGGCTTTGTAAGAAGGGTGACCAGTGTGAATTCCTCCATGAATATGATATGTCTAAAATGCCCGAATGTTATTTCTATGCCAGGTTTAATGCATGTCACAATAAAGAATGTCCATTTTTACACATCGACCCTGAAAGCAAGATTAAGGATTGTCCGTGGTTAGTCCTTATTATATTTATATAATATGTTATATTTATTGATAATTTTCCATGTAATGTAAGCTTTTTTTATTGATTTAGGTATGATAGAGGGTTCTGCCGACATGGCCCACACTGTCGACATAGACATGTGCGTCGTGTTCTCTGCATGAACTACTTAGCAGGTTTCTGCCCAGATGGGCCTAACTGCAAATACATGCATCCAAGATTTGAACTGCCAGCACCACCGGAACAGACAAAAGATGCTAAGAGATTGCCAGTTTGTCATTACTGCTCAGAAGTTGGTCATAAAGCATCATCATGTAGTAAGATACCTCAAGAGGTCAGTATTTCAATCTTGTTTGTGTAAAAAGTTAAAGTTTCAGCCTTTATACTGTCCACTGCTGGGTACAGGTCTCCTATCATTTCTGAGAGTTGTATGCATGAAATACATGTTGGCAGACTTTTCATCTAAAAACTTTTTATATCATTGACATATGGTTTTTTTGTATTATTAACAACCAGCCACCTGCCCCAGCTTTGCCTGGGTTGACAATTATCATTCTTATATATTAGGTAGGTGTAATTTATTTTAAAACTTTATGATATACCATATTTTTGGCTCCGTTTTTATAATGGTATGGTTCTTTGCATTTCCTGACTTATTGACCCAGCACACAACATGTAAGCTCTCAAAAGACACAATTTTTTCCAACTTAGTTGATGAATATCATCATAAATTTGTCATAACTAGTTGCTCCCCAAGACTTCGCCCATGTGGAGTTCTTTGCTAGGAACCCTAAAATAAAAGTAGCCTAAGTTACTCCTTATAATGATGATGATGAAGTTACTCCTTATAACATCAGCTATCTGCCAATGAAAGTCCCATCCAAATCGGTTCACAGGTTTTTGTTTGATAGTGTTAACGCTAAAATAGCTTGCAGGTGACAGATTTTTTAGACTTAACATTTATCGTCATATTTTGGCTGATTTACACAATATCTTTATGAATTATAGCTTATGTGTTATTCTGATGTAGTTTTATTAAAATCAATTCTAGTTTTTGCATGTAAGAGTAACAAACATTTTTACATCCTCACAAACTTTCACATTTATAATATACTAAGAGTAACAAACATTTTTACATCCTTACAAACTTTTACATTTATACTAGAATGAATTTTAATAAAACTACAATAATATAGCTCAGGATATAATATGTATATATAGAATATACAGAGTTACTTTTGAGTGTATGTGCTCCTCTGTATGCAGTTCAATTCACAACATTTTTGTCGACAGATCGACCCTTACAAATGTATGTGTAATTTGTGTGTGTGTGTGCAGTAAAATCAGTTAAGATAATGCATTACCACGCATTTTGAATTTAAAAGATAAAAAGAACAATGATTGAGATTTTTTAAATTAATTTTTCTTTACCATTTGGCTCTATTACTTATTCTAAACCTTCTCTACAAATATGGCCAGTTAATGCAAAATAACTCTATAACCTATGTCCATCTGGAATAATAACTTTTCATATGATGAAAGAATTTTTTCAAATAGGTACAGTGGGTATTACACTTCCACAATACACAAACTTACAAAATTCTTACTCTCTTTTTATATAATACTATATTAGTATAGATTACATTAAACTTATCATGGTGTATAAGGAAGAATCAATCGGTGTTCAAAAAACAAGCAAAACTCAGGGCGCCTTGGATAAGATAGTGATTGTTTTCAGTAGTAGCATTTTTTATTGTGTAATTAGCTAATTAGTATATAGTTATAATTTAGTTACCTTTTACTAATTACTACTAGTTTTTCATTGTCAAACTTTATACAATGAAATTAAGCAACACTATGACATGCCATGTGACATATACAATTGAGTACTAGAGTCCATGCAATGTTTGCCATAATTCTAATATGGTGTAATTGAGTTCATTATTATTTATTTTATTTTTCTTATGCACATGATATTCCTTAGACAACTTTTACATGTCTTACAAGCGTTGCAATAAATACTATTAATTCGTCAATTATCACTGACCATATTATAGTGAAAATAAATTTAATAATTGATATAATTTTAATTTCCAGCAAAGAGAAGCAGCACAAAAGCAAGAAGAGGCAAGATATCGAGCTCTTGGTTATGTCAAGCCTGTTGGTGAAAATGAGGATGCAAATGCTCAACGTCTTCGTCTGATGCACAAGCCCTTAGAAGAAGTCACGTGTTTCAAATGTGGCACTAAAGGGCATTATGCCAACAAATGCCCCAAGGGTCATCTCGCCTTTCTTTCAAACCAGAATAACCAGAGCAATCAAAATGTGTTCAAAAAACCCAACTAGTATAAGTATGTGAAGCCAAATTAAAGTGGCTTCAGTACGGACCTTAAGTAAGGAAAATAAGTGGTAGAAATACATAATATGTGCTATATCTAAGACTTACTTTTTATGTACATGTAAATAAATTCTGATAAATGAAGAAGTGAAATACATACTTAAAACAACCCTTTTATAAAATTTGAATGCAATCAAAAATTTAGCAACTTATGTGCTACCTCAAAAAAAATGTATCAGTCTTCTTTTACTTGATAGATACTGTACCTATTTCATTCATTTTTAAGCTCCTGAACTGAAAAGGATATTGTATTAAGATCTATATACATATACGTATCGTCGTCAGTGGTGTGTCTTTCCTAGTGTAGTGGTGTTGGAAGTAGTGGTGCTGGGATTAGTGGTGACGGGGATAGTGCACGCATTTGAGGGAGGGCGGGAGGTGCTCTTCAAACTAGGTAAGACACATCATTTTATTTTATCGAGCGGATGTACGCAAAGTAATTTTTTGTCAACTTTAATTGGCTACGAATTCCTTACTACAGCAGATCCCAGCCACAGATATCGTGATCCTTGGTGATTTTAACACCCACCACGCCGAATGACTCGGTTCACGTTTAACCAATCATGCGGGGAGATCTTTTTATGACTTTGCTTTGGCATATGGTCTTACGCAGCTGGTTACTTCGCCTACGCGGATTCCAGATGTGGAGGATCACTCCCCTTGCCTGTTGGACCATCTGCTGACCTCTCATCCGGACGTATATCAGTTTTCCGTCGACGCCCCTCTTGTCTCCTCCGGCCATTCTCTTGTCCGAAGTGTGGTGCCACCCACACTAACGTTACAGTTGCATTCTGCACGCTGCCGCCGTGTTTGGCACTATAAGTCAGCCGATTGGGATAGGATGCGGTTTTTTTTGCTTCCTACCCTTGGGGTCGGCTTGCTTCTCGCCGAACGATCCCAGCGTTGTCGCTGATGTGGTACTTCAGAGTATGGAACTATTTATTCCATTCTCGGTGGTGCCCATTGGAGGCGGATCCCAGCCATGGCTCGGTCGCTCCTGTAAAATAGCATCACTCTATAAGCAAGAGTGCCACCGGGCCTGAGCTGACGCATCAACGTCTCTCTTAAAAAGAAGTATGATTCCACCTCCAGGTCCTTCAAAAGCATCATTGCCAAGGGAATTTCTGTCAGCCATCTCTTCCATCTCTGCACAGAAAGGACGACTCACTAGCCCATATATGCGGCAAAGGAGAAAGCCGATCTGTTAGGCTCTCTTTTTGCGTCCAACTCTACTGTCGATGACGGGGGGAACATACCGGCGACCATCCCGAGGTGTGAGTGCTCCATGCCGGACGTGTGGTTTCACAGCGCTCCGTTCACAAAGCACTCCTCTCCCTGGACGTCAACAAGTCGAGTGGGCCTAATGGTGTCTCTCTCATTGTGCTGAACATGTATGCTCCGGAGTTGGCACCGGTTTTAACGCGTTTTTCCAGTACTGCTACCCTTGGGAGTAGCAGTACCGGAAAAGAAGAGTAGTCCCGAATTCATGGATGACAGCTTTGGTCCACCCAATCCCTAAAAAAGGTAAGCGCTCAGACCCGTCCGATTACAGGCCTATCGCCAACACCTCCTTGTTTTCCAAAATAATGGAATCCATTATAAACTGCCAGCTCATGAGGTACGTTGAGGATCACCAGCTGATTAGTGACTGCCAATAATACTACCGGTTAATATCGGTTTTCGTCGGGGTCGATCAGCTGGTGATCTTCTGGCCTACCTGACTCATAGATGGGCGGAGGCAGTAGAATCCAAAAGGCCTTCCCCATTGGCCGTTAGTTTGGATATAGCGAAGGCTTTCGATCTCGATTCTCTCAGTGAGAGAACTTGCCAACGTCGCGTCGTACTGTCCGCGCCCCGTGGTATTTTTTGTTACCGAAATAATTTCGGTTATGTAAACGTTATACAAATTTGTAACTAAACCCCTTAAAAATAGCGCTACCGTTATTTTGTACCGGTAGCGTAACCTCGTACCTTAACCGCATTCAATCCCTGGTTGGGGGGACTGAGGTATTTGACGTCCCGCTCTGTCATAGTTTAGTCTCATTCAACACACACTAGCTTGTCCGGCTACCTTCACCTATTGAATTTTAATTTTTGTTCCGATCTACGCAGAACGAGCTTACAGTATCTTTTGTAGCCGGCAGTGGTATTCTTGGATTTGGATTTAATTTTATTAATTATAGGACATAACTAGCGATTTAATAAAGAAATACTCTGAAAAATTAAAAGTCGATGTGAGTTCGATAATACCATCATGTGCCAAACCACCCGAGGTTGTAAGTGTTACTGAAAACACACAAACCAAACGCCACACTAAGATCCTATTAGATTATTCTACGAACCATAGTGAGCCAGAACGATTCACAAAAGTATAAGTTGGCTCAACACTTAACAATGAAAGTTATGTAACTATCTATACATTATAAAATAAATAGAAGTTTCCATAACTGCCTATACGTGTTAATCATAACACAATTACTCACTATCGAAAGTTTTAATGCTCACGGATATTCGTGTCATTTCAATTATATTAAAAAAAAAAACTTCAACTTGCTCTCTTGCTTACCCAATTAATCACTATCAGGAATAAGACAGCGTACTGCACTATACATTCAGTATAGAGCAAATACAGTTCGACCGTACCATAATATGTCCCTGACACAATCACACACTGATGTAACGTGAAGGACATAATTAAATGATAACACCAAAGTATTCAAACCAACATCAACACTACCCATCTCAATGTAACATAGGGCAGCCTCTCAGTAACACGGTCTTCCTTGCTTGCACTAGAAGGACTACCTACAACGAACAGTATCTCGACACTTTTTAGTTCTTAGTGTGTAGGTAATGTTTTACCCCAACGGGTATAATAACGACAGTGAAACGTAGAATTACCGACTGATCCCCCTTAGTCGTCTGTGCGATACTTTATATTGCTAGAACCAGTTCGAGATTGCAATTCTACCCTCATTTGTTCGTATTTCCTTTTAATTTTTGCACTCATTCATAACACGTCCTATCCTCAATTTACACGTCCTTTTGTGAAGGCTAAAGTAACTTTACTGGCTTAATATAACTTTCCCGTCTCAGCCTTTTCTGATCATGAAACGATAAATTCTTGTTTTCAAATCTTTCAAATTTTTATTCAACAGCACACAAATAGTGAGCTGTTCAATACATTTATTTCAACTTAATACAACATAGGCGGACTACTAATATGATGTATAGGGCTTAAGGCCCTATACATCATATTAAGTCCGCCTATACTATAGATAAATAAATATGTAGCAAGATAGCCTATACTATAGGCGCACTTGATACCTGAGACATTCTCTGCCAGTCAAAGTCAGTAAGTCTTTGGGTGATGCAAAGATAAAAATATGAAATAGGGGTGTGAAACGCTAAATTAAGGCAGAAATGTAAATTAAAGTATATAAATATCAAAGAATATACATATAGCCATACATAAACTTACATATCAAAAATTATTTAATACATATACATAGTATTATATATAAATTATGTAAATATAAATTAAATAAATTACATACATACTGATGCGGGCCACGATTAATACATGGTACATGGCGACACTAGTTACCACTAGAGCCCTCTAGTATCGAGTGGCAGGACTAGGAGAGTCAAGAATATTCTAAAAATGTCTATAGTAAAAGGTTCTGGGAACTACCTAAGGCCCTATATAAGGCCGGTATAGACCGGGACTGAGTCAGTGCCCCGCATAGGAGACGTCCCAAGAACGTTCTTCTTGATCTCGACGACGAGATCACTTCCATGAATAGGTCAATCCCGTCCTCCCCCTCCATAGGAGAGGGAACCCATTTAGTTAACATTAACACATACACACACACTCAGACACTACTCTAGTACAGATCACTAGGGCAAACCGTGTTCGCCGGCGAACGCGAGGTCACAGACATCCCGTACACGAGGGTCAACACACGTGATACGAGGCGTTTCTAATTCTTGCGACCCGTAAATAAAATTTGCGATAGTGATTCAAGCCGAGGTTCGCACCTCCTTCTGAGGGGCCCTGGAATCGCATCGAGCCCCCCCCCCCCCCTCGCCCTAGTTCGAGGAGCCTCATTCCAAAAGCAGGGGTCAGGGTGCCTCGGGACTGCAGTCGGCGATGTGAATCATAGCACTCAATAGCTCGTAGGTCCCCGCTTTACGAGCCTAATTCGATGAAGCTGTCAAGGCGCAGGGTCAACAGCGTACACTTTCAGGAAAAAAAAGACCTAGTCCATATTGAATTGGCGATACAAGTGTTTTGTTATTAGTGTGGTTTTAAGTTGTAATAAGTGTTCTGTGATTAAAGTGTAAATTTTGGTAATTCACTCGGCAGTTTTAATGGGTCTGGCCACCCAATTTTGTTAAGGGTATCAAAAAATTGTATAAAAAATTACGAATTCACCGGTATTCTTTTTTTTCTACCTTTAAAAATGACTGAAATATTGATGAGTAAAGTGGTGTTTTACGGTAAGGGCGACCGATCGCGATGTGACGTCACAAATCGACACGTCGAAGCGACCCAGTAGTCTTTATTGTTATATTTTTCTTATTCTCTCCATATTTATTACTCCATATTTTTCTTGTCATGTTATTTATTTATCAGTAACCTTTATATTCTGTTTTTTTTTTTTAATTTCTGTTATATCACGCTCATTAGGAATAAAAGTCCGATATGAGAAGATAAAATCCTGTAGATCAAGTTATACCTTAATGCAAAATTTCATCAAAATCATTTTAGTATTATACACATTGAATGTCTTCGACCATTGCATTTTCAAAACAGAATAGGTACCAACTACCAACGTAATACCGCAATCAGTTTATTCAAAAGTAAGTCGAAGTTAAAACTAGGACCGAACCACTAACGAACTACGTAACCAACAAAATGTCTTCACTACTAAATAACAGTACG